GATGACTGTGGCAAATGAAAAAGCTGACCTCTTTAATGAATTCTTTTCCTCCATATTCCTGAACAGAGACTGAAACATTTCCCCCACTAGAATTGTGGACAGACCCAGGGGTGCCACCGCCATGCCTAGGGTCAGGGACGACCTAGTTAGGGAACTCTTGGAGTTCCCTAACTCCTATTTAAATCAGTAGGTCCAGATGCTCTTCACCCGAGGGTACTGAGGGAATTGGCGGGGGTCATAGCAGGGCCCTGGCATGGATCTATGAGCACTCATGGGGCACTGGCCAGATACCAGAGGATTGGAAAATGGCCAATGTGGTCCCTATTTACAGAAAGGGGAGGAAGGAGGACCCCAGAAATTATAGGCCAGTCAGTCTTACCTGGGTCCTTGGGAAGACCTTTGAGAAAATTATCAAGCAGCACATCTGCAAGGGCCAAGCATGGGAGGTAATGCTCAGGGGCAACCAACATGGGTTCACTGAGGGCAGATCCTGCCTGAGTAACCTAGTTTCTTTTTATGACCAAGTCATAAAGTCCCTGGATGAAGGTGTCGGGGTGGATGTTGTCTTCCTGGATTTTAAGAAGGCCTTTGACATGGTTTTCCACCACATTCTCTTAAAAAAATTAGGTGACTGTGGCATTGATGCCTACACAGTCAGATGGGTGGCAAATTGGCTAGATGGTCGCACCCAGAGAGTAGTGGTGGGTGTGTCATTTTTGACCTGAAGGGGTGTGGGCAGTGGAGTCCCCCATGGCTCGGTCCTGGGGCCTGTACTGTTCAACTTCTTTATCAGCAATCTGGATGTGGGCGTGGAATGCACGCTGTCCAAATTCGCTGACAACACCAAGTTGTGGGGTGAGGTGGGCACGCTGGAGGGAAGGGACAGAATGCAGCTAGATCTAGACAGGTTGCAGAGGTGGGCAGATAAGAATAGGATGGAGTTCAATGCAGACAAGTGCGAGGTACTGCATCTAGGGAAAAGGAAGCAGCAACACACCTATAGGCTGGGAAACACCCTTCTTGTCAACATGGTGGCACAAAGGGATCTTGGAATCATGTTGACTCCAGGACGAACATGAGCCACCAATGTGAGGAAGTGGTCAGTAAGGCTAACCGCACCTTGTCGTGCATCTACAGATGCATCACAAGCAGGTCCAGGGAATGCCCCTACATGTGGCATTGGTCAGGCTGCAGTTGGAGTACTACATCCAGTTCTGGGTGCCTCACTTCAAGAGGAGTGTGGCTAGCATTGAGAGGGTCCAGAGGAGGGCCATTCATATGGTCAATGGGCAGTGGGACTGGCCCTACGAGGAGAGGCTAAAGGGCCTGAACCTATTCAGTATCCACAAGAGAAAGCTTAGAGGGGATCTGGTGGCCATTTACAAACTCACCAGGGGGAACCAGTGAGAATTGGGGGACTCTCTGTTGCCCTGGGCACCACTTGGGGTTACTAGGAATAATGGTCACAAATTGTTAGAAAGAATGTTCAGGCTGGACATCAGGAGACATTACTTTATAGTCAGAGCTGCCAGGCTCTGGAATGGGCACCCAAGTGAGGTGGTGCTCTCTCCTACCTTGGGAGTCTTCAAGAGGACAGATATTTGGCTGGGGTGATATGACCGCAGCATCCGTTCCTGCCTGGGGCAGAGGGTTGGACCTGATGATCTGTTTAGGTCTCTTCTGACCCTAAGCACTATGAAACTATTGGAAATGGGCAAACACAGTGCGAATCTTTAAGAAAGAGAAGAAGGGGGATCTGGAGCACTACAGACTAGTCTGCCTCACCTCAGTGCCTGGAAGAATTATAGAGAAGATCCTCAAGGAATCCATTTCTAAACACTTGGAGGAGAAAAAGGTGATAAGGAACAGTCAGCATGGAGTCACCAAGGGCAAATCATGCCTAACCAACCTGATTGCCTTCTGGTCCTGAGGCCAGTTTTGTTCAATGTCTTCATCAATGACCTGAAAGATGGTGTCCCCTCAGCAAGTTTGTAGATGACACCAAGCTGTGGGGAGTAGTAGATACACTGGAGGGTAGGGCTAGGATTCAGAGTAACTTGGACAAATTGGAGGATTGGGCCAAAAACATTCACATGAGGTTCAACAAGGACAAATTCAAAGTCCTGCACTTAGGACAAAACAATCCCATGCACCAGTACAGATTGGGGGCTGACTAGCTGGACAACAGCTCTGCAGATAGTGACTTGGGGGTTACACTGGACAATGAGCTGAATATGAGCCAGCAATGTGCCCTTGTTGCCAAGATGGCAAGAGGCATATTGGGCTGCACTGGTAGGTGTGTTGCCAGTAGGTCAAGGGAAGTGATTCTTTTCCCCTCTATTCCGTACTGGTGAGGCCACATCTGGAGTACTGTGTTCAGTTTTGGGCCCCCACTACAGAAAGGTTGTGGAAAAATTGGAGAGAGTCCAGTGGAGGGCAACAAAAATGGTGAGGGGGCTGTGGTACGTGACTTATGAGAACAGGCTGAGGGAACTGGGCTTATTTAGTCTAGAGAAATGAAGACTGAGGCAGGATTTAATAGCAGCCTTCAACTGCCTGAAGGGAGGTTCAAAAGAGGGTGGAGGTAGACTGTTCTCAGTGGTGGCAGATGACAGAACAAGGAGCAATGGTCTCAAGCTGCAGCAAGGGAAGTTTAAGTTAGATACTAGGAAGAATTTTCTCAGTAGGAGGGTAGTAAAATACTGGAACAGATTACCCAGAGAGGTGGTGGAAACTCCATCCTTGGAGGTTTTTAAGACCCAGTTAGACAAAGCTGTGGCTGGGATGGTCTAATTGGGGCTGGTCCTGCTTTGAGCAGTGGGTTGGACTAGATGACCTCCTGAGGCCCCTTCCAGCCCTAATTTTCTATGATTCTATTATTCTAAAAGGGAAATATGCTTATCATGTGTATCAAATGAGATTTAGTTAGAACACCCCACCACCATTTTGAAGCACGGGGACACTGATACGCAAGACACTGCAGACACTTTAATTAGAGTGGCTCTCAGAAATACTCTTATTGAAGCATCCCTTGATCCGCATAGCACGTGTAAAAATGCCCGTAGAAAACAATCTTTTGTAAACAGAGGTCCTATTGAGTACTTAACCCTCCTATAATACAAAACAAGGAAACATTCAGTGAAACTGAAATGTAACACATTTTAACTGATAAAAGGAAAGAGTGCTATATTTTTAAATCATTGCCAGAAGACAATATTGAGGTCAATAACTTAGGCTTATACATTTATATAAACAGCCAACCTCCAGCAGCCAACTTGATGCCATCCTATAGAGAATCAATATAACTCTAATTTGCTGGCTTAACACCATCCTATAGAGAACCAATAAAATTCTAATTTGCCTCCTTGAAAACAGCCTCAGTTTGCAGTAACTAAAACCTGTTCCAATCTTACAGAAAGTAGGTTTATGTGAATGGAGTCAGGGATCTTTGTGCAATTTTGAATAGACTGAGTATTCAGATGATAACTATAACCAACGATTAAGGCCACCTCTTCCCTGAAAATGAGATCCCTCTCACTATTTGTTTGTCAAGTCACATTTCCTATTCAGAGCCTATCTGATAGGTCACACCTGCTTTTTCTCCTTGAAGAAAGAAACTTAACCTTTTAAATAAAAAAATTAAAAAGAATACCCAGTTTAATGGAACCACTAAACTCTATATATGCCTTACTGAGGGCATATCTGCATCACCTGAATACTGCTTGAGAGAGTATCATAGTGAAATATGACATACACCTCTGCATACACTATCCTCCAAAACAAATCATGCACAAAGTATGCCTATAGTGCCCATTCACATTACATCCATTTCAGGAACAGCGAATGCTAAGTAAGCTTGCCATGATTCACTGTGGTGTTCTCTAGCACAGTCTTGCAGGGATACAGACATGTACTGAATAATTAGCATGACATTACTACAGTAAAAGCCCTGTTTTCTGGCATGAGTAGGGAATGGGGGGTGCCAGCAATCTAAAAATGCCTGTTACTTGAGGCACAGGGGTTTCCGACCAGACGTGGAGTGGGGGGGGGTGCACATGCAGAGCAGGAGTCAGGGGTCGTGGCAGCCAGATGCGGAGCAATAGCAGCGCAGGGTGGTGGATAGTGGCAGTGGGCACCACATACAAGCGTCCCCCCGCCCAGGTCTGAAAGGAAATTCCAGTTAATAGAATGCCAGTTAGTAAAATGCCAGATAACTGGGCTTTTACTGTAATGCGGTCCTTAATCTCTCGCTTCCCTATCCTCCTTCTTGATTATAACCCTCATTGGTTGAGCCACCTGCATTTTGACTGCACAATGCTAACAGAAGGAGTCATCTCTCACATACAGAGAACATTTTTGGATGCTCACGTATAATGAGAAATCCCTATTGAGTAAATTAAACTCTTTGAGTTCTGCTTCCACCCTCATTGAGGATATTTCCGTTTCCATACCATCAACTCAATTACCTGTTCTGCCCCTTTTATGTTCATCACCCACCTCCCCACTGAAAACTAAGGTTAAAGATGTATTTAGTTTTTGGTCTATACAAAGATCATCCTTAATTTCTACTCATCCTCATTGTATTCTTCTTTACTTGTTCTCTTTTTATATAGCTGAAGAACCTTTTGCTATTTGTTTTAATATCCTTTGTTAGGTGTTAATTCATCTTGGCTTTTGATAATTTCCACTATAACCCAACTGTTCTTGACCTTTAAGATTTTGCTTCCTTTGTTTCCAATGCATGTTTCCCATTCCTTTTAGGCTTTCAATTTACTCCTAGTATTCTTGAATTGGCTATTCATTGGGTTGGGCTTGGAGCATCTTCCTAAAATTTTTTCCCCTTTGCTTACAAGATAAGTTTGTGAAAGTTTTAGTCCAAGGCCTCCTCCATCTTTGATTCCTTGAGTTCTTCTGTACAGTTGATTTCATTACATAGTTCCTTCAGTTCAGCAAAGTTCACCATTATAAAAGAGAGCACTTTAATTAAAAGACCTAGCTTTGTTTATGCTTCCATTTTTTTAAATGAATCAATTTGTGATAACTTGAGCCAATTTATAGTGTATGACTAGGTAGTCTAAAATGTCTTCATTAGTTACAGCATCCAGCTGTAAAAACAGCATCCAAACCTTATTACACACTTTGGAGAAGACAGTTATTAATGTCCTCATGGGCTTTTCTGTTGTACCTATTCATATATCACAGTGCTTCAGAGACATCAAAGAAATTTAGTTCACAACAAACATATAGGTTTTGTGTATAATAGCATTAATAATAAATAATACTTTGCACTTATATAATACCTTTTCTCCAAACAGATTGACACTTTTGGGGTAAAGAGAATTATAAATATATTGTTAAAAGGTAATTTGCATACACAAAGTTGTAGATGCTGCTATTTATGTTCCTTCCTTTTTGCACTGTGGGTGAAAGGAGGCAATAGAGATGTGTTACAACATGTCTTGGGACCTTTAGCAGAGAGGTAGGAGTCAGAGCCTACCAGACATTCCATACTGCACCATCTCCCTTCACTCTCAGCAGTACTTTGGCAGTAGCAATAAGAAAGCCATATCTTTTTTCTGCTCCATGTCATTAAGGAGAAACAAGGCCTGGTTGAGGGAGAAAGAGTCAAAGAGCAAGTGTGCTAAATAGCATGGTCCCTTATGAACCCACTATTACTGACAAAGCAAATTGTAGCACAAGTTAACAAATACCATTTACACATTGATTTTCTGCAATGGTTTCAAGGATCAGTGGAGAAGGTAAAAACTCCAAACATACAGAAGACAAGTTTGTGGCAACATAACACTCAAAGCAGCTATAGACTTAGGAACCAACCCCCACAGTAAGAGTCAAATGTGAGGGGATGGCTGCATAGGCAACACATAGGGAATACAAGGGGGAGAGACATGTCCCCCCAACAGCGCTGTTCCTGCCGGCAGCGTCTACAGATGCTTGCCAGCTCCAGCCCTGGCAGAGGCTTCTGTGGGTGCCCCCCCACAGACTCAGGAGGCACCAGTCACCCATGGATGGCTGGGTATGTGCTAGCAGCCTCCTAGCCTGTGCCTAATGGACAGTCACAATACTTGCTTGCCACCATCTGCCTCACCTCTGTGAGTTAGTGGCTCAGGACATTTCAGTACATAGCAAACAGCAGAGTTTTACACATAATATTCCTTTCCATGGATCTGTCCTATATTGCTAGCAGCAACTTTTATTATTGCTTAGTTCAGAGCGAGACTTACAGAAGTCCTCCATTGTGATGCTAGGCAGCATGGCCAATGTTCAGGTACACTAGACACAACAGAACCAGGAAGATTGTGGCAAGGTTTATACCCAGTGACCATCATACAGTAAAACCTTTACATTAATTACCACCAGTCTTCTTAAAATAAACACAGTAAAAAAAAGGACGGAGAAGGGGGTAAGTTTGTTACCTAGACTTTTCATGCTAAGATTCGGAGAGAGAATTACTGCATCAAGATCAAAATCTCATTACCAGTATTGTATATTATTGGGATTACAGTTGGGGAATGAGAGAGGCAGTTAAGTTTTTGGCTTGAATTACATATGCCCATTAGTGATCAGTGGTTCAAATCATTTCATCTGATAACTAGCCATCGGTATCTTTAGAATAGGGGCACTGTGAGGCTTTTGTTTTGCTGTTTTGTTTTCGGTACATTGACCTAATGTTAATTTATTGGAGGCAGGTAATGTACTTAAAGGCCTGCAGAATTATAAGGTTTAGTCTTTTTAGTGCTCTAGTTCTAGTCTCAGAAGAATGTATGAACAAGCCACAGACTTTTTTTTACTAGGGGTTTCTTATTAAGGTCCAGTCTTTAAATGTGGTCTGTTTTCTTTGGGGGGAGTAGAGTTTTTTTGTTTTTTAAGGAATGCTTTATTTTGCTAGAATAAAAGGGATTTAGTTCTGGCTTTTGATGGAGTATGTGCCTTTGAAAGATAAAAGTTTGCCCTAGGCATTTTTACTTTCTTACAGTGGGGACTTCACCATCATACCTCTGCTTCTACAGCTGACAAAGCACAAATCACCAGGAAAGGTAAGCTGAAAGGTACACTGTACCTTCCCTCCCTGTTACCCCAGAGTCTGTGCTATAAACTCAGGAACCACTCCCATCCATGGCTAGATTGCATCACTCAGGCATTGCTCAACATCAGGAAGCTTCACCCTGCCCACCGCTACAGAATTCAATGAGGGATTGTGCCTCCAGAGACAAAGTTTGCTCATTCAGCTCCCCTGTGAATAGAAGTGAGCAAGGTACAACAACCTTTGAGATGGTATAGACCCCTCCCTCCTCTTTATCCATCCAGACTGGTCTACTGCCTGGGGTTCTGGTCCCTCACTCCCTTCACCACAGCCCACCCTACACCT